CTCGGGGCCCCCCCCCCCCCCCCCCCCCCATGGGCCGCAAGCCGCCATTTCAGCTATACAGGTTAGCTGCTACAGGGTCATGGAGTACAAGGGCGACAGCGTTAGCCGCTATGGGGTCACAGGGTACAAGGACGACAGAAGCTATACAGGCTCAGCCCTACAGGACTACAGGCACTGCAACGATTATTGTAGCCGTATGATCTATAGAAGTATTAGAAATGTAGAGAGTATTAGAGTTACGGAACATAGAAAAATGTTATCAGCGTATTCAAATTTCTATTGTTTACCATTCAAGTAAAAATATTTGCATTTCAAATGCAGATTCATTATTTTTTGCTGTGCTGTTTGGACCTTACTCGATATTATTGAAAATATGCGAAAATGCCCCAACGTGCACTTTACTAAGAAAAATCTCGCCTCGTCTGGAATTCTAAATAATTCTCATCGAATATTTCTATATTAAACTAAGGACAGTCAATTGTATATTTGATTCTTGAATTGCATCAACTGCTTATACGTTTTGTGACTACTAGAAATGCTACCACCCTGAGAGTGATGATCTTAAAGTGAGCTTAATCGTTAAGTATTTTATTCTAATCCACAATCTCGTTTTCCAAATACAAGTATGTGAGTTCCACATTTTAGCCCCAAAGGGGCTGCGCTGAGAAGCTTTGATAAAGACAAGAAATAATCGAGCTTTTCTGTTTTAGCAACAACGACTGTTATTTCAACCACATCGTCTTCTACAGCATCGACAACCTCCACAAGTTCTTCTTCTACATCGAGTTCCACATCCTCAACAACTTCATCAAGCTCGACATCATTTACATCGTCTACAACCTCCACTTCTTCCACAACTGATACAAGTTCTTCGTCATCATCGAGTTCCACAACATTCACCACCTCTACGACATCCACAACCTCTTCGTCTTCGTCAACATCTTCATCAAGCACCACATCATCCACAAGTTCGACATCATCTACGTCGTCTACAACCTCCACTTCTTCCACAACTGATACAAGTTCTTCGTCATCATCGAGTTCGACAACATTCACCACCTCTACGACGTCCACAACCTCTTCATCTTCATCTTCGTCAACATCTTCATCAAGCACCACATCATCCACAAGTTCGACATTATTTACGTCGATTTTCACATCCTCAACGAGTTCTACAACCTCTACATCCTCCATAATCTCATTGCCTTCATCAAATTCCACATCATCCATTTCTTCGACCACTTCCACAACGGATTCGATGTTAACGTCGTCTACCACATCTGTAACGAGCACAAGCTCAACATTATCGACGTCAGTGTCATTCTCAACTAGCTCGACTTCATCTACAACCAGCACAACTATGAGCACATTAGAAACATCACAAACACCAGCCATAAATGAAAGTAATAAATTGCAAACTTTTTTCGAAATAAATGAATAACAACATTCATCATTTAGGTTGTTATCCTCCGTCTATCATTCTTATTCCTGGTCAATCATCTTTATTATCTCCATTAGTATACCGTCGAAGTCAAGATTTCTCCATATCTTCCTTACTGAAACTTGCATGTGCAAGTTCTCTTTCAACTACGATACAATGGTCAATAAAAAATTGTACTGTAATTACTTGTATAACTCCGATAACTTTAAGTACGAAAATTTGCACAACATTAAGTGAAATTTATATTCCATCACGAACTTTGGCACTTGGTGTTTATCAATTTACAATAAGTGTTAAAATGACAAAATCACCTCAATATCGATCTTCATCAGTTACATATATTCGAATAACTCCATCAGGTATTACAGCAAATCTTGTTGAATTAGGAACATCAATGATAACACGAGGTGATAAACAAGATCTTTTCTTCGATCCAGGAACATATTCTGTCGATCCCGATGAAGATTCATTTGATGCATCAGTAAGTATTCAGTCATTCTTCTCAATGATATTTTACAAATCTTTTTCTATTTCATACAGAAATGGAAATATGTTTATTATTGTCGAATTTATCCTCGTTATCAATTTCCTAATCTTCAAGGTATTTTTTTACCAATTGAAGATCTTCGAGTTGATCCTGTCAATCCATCATGTTTATCAGGTAATGGAACACAATTAATCTTTGGAAATTCGAGTTCATCTCCAAAATCATCTTTAACAATTCGTGCTGGTTCACTTCAAACAAATGAAATTTATCAATTTATGGTTTATATGGAAAATCGAAAAAATTCATCTGTTCAAGCGACTGGTTATGTTCTTGTTACAGTCGAAGTGACTCGTCCACAACTGATCATCATTGGGTAAATCAAACCCTTGAAGAAATTCTTAATGAGATCATTTTTCTTTTACTACTTAGTTGTGTAATCTCAACAATGTGTATTCCTAATTTGGAATTTCAATTACTCAATCCAACGACTCAAGTTGCTTTAACCAGTTTTTGTACTGGAATATGTGACGATCTTCAAAGTATCACATGGAATATTTATGAAGGATCAACTAATTCATCAACAAATTCGACAGTTATATGGAAATTATTTCCTTCGTCAATCTCTTACGAAAACATTTGGTTTTTCGGAACATATATAAACAATTTTACTGCTGATAATCGATTGTTTATTAATAATCCTCATATCCAATATTGGCGATTCGAAGCTGTTTATTCATTTCTAAATGCAACAAGTTCAAGTGCATTGAATTTTATCAT